AAAGTGTTTTGTTATACCTCTCAACTCAAAAATAGAAAAAAAATGCGAATAAATCGTTTGCCTGACGTCGGCGGCTCACAAATTTGCCGCGGTTTCAAGGAGCACGACCTGATCACGCGCGAGTCGAAAGTTCAAGTTGTTGTTTTCTTAGGGAGTTAGTGAGTTTTGACCCACGACACGTGACAAGTTCTCCTCCAATCGGAAAATGTATTTGATTTGGGAGGTATAACAAAATTATTTAATTCTTTTCATGAGTCTAACGCTGTTCACATGCATGCCTTTCGCCACATTCATTACGTTCTTTCTCCAATCGCGCAATACAATAGCCCACAATTGACCCACTACCTTCTACTCGGTAGCCTCCATTGGACTGGTCACACACCAGGACTGAGAATTGACTCTGGAGGTGAAATAATTCACAATCTCTACGTTAGAAGCTATGTGATGGATTGGTTAGCTATAGACAAGTCTCAATAGAAAGTCTGCAATTAAACAATAGAGTTTATGTTCGCGGGCATAAATATGTTTTGGGCCCGACTCAGACTCATGTTAGCCCAAGCCGCTAGGCGAGGGTTAAAATGAGCTCTGAGAAGGGCCCAAAACTTATTTATGTCCAAGAACATAAACTCAAGCACACGCGAGCGTTTACGAGTTGAATGGCTTTTATTTTCCCTCAAGGAAAGCTGGCTAGAAATTAGACAATCTTGCCATTTGAGTTTTCAAAAGTTGTAGAAGGCATGAAAGGAAAACTCCATAAATTTTAGTTGTAATTGTTGAAATTAATTGTACAATTGCTAAACTGACAGTTTGGCATAATTGGTTGAACTGAGTGAGTTTGGCTTGAAGTCGCAAAATGTACATGCACTTCGCCACTAGCCATGGAGCTACTACACGCGGTATTTACATCAGAAGTTTCTCTTGAAAGAAATGTCTTCGTCCCCCTCATCCACTGTTCCCCTGTCGAAGTCTTTTTAATCTATGCTTGACTATATTGTGTATTCTTGACAAGTTGTTATTGATGTAGTCCCTTTTTTTTTCTCAAGGACCAAACCGTACGCTGGTCAAGAATCCACAGTGAATTTAGTGTGTAACAATGATTCAAAGGCTCAAGATGAATTTATTCTCGTACACGAAGATAGCCTGGTGAGAACATGTAGAATTTCATAACTTCTTAATAATCTTTTATGAGGTTCTTGAATTGATTTTTGAGTTATTTTTTTGTAAAAAAAAAAAATGCCTCTTAGTCGGCGCGTCGGGGTATGTTATGGACGGGTCAATGGATGAGTGAGTGAGTGAGTGAGTGAGAGATGTATGTACGTCACACCAATCAGATTGGATCTACTGTAAACAGCCAATCAAATTTCTTGTTGTAAAGGTAAATGGTACGTGAGAAGATTTGATCCCGATACAGTTTAGAACGGCCATATTTATTCTTGTATAAAAGAAGAGGAAGTATCTATATATTGGGCTTACTTCGACATTTTCTGTGGGTTAGGCTGAGGAGTTAAGTTATGAACGAGATCAGCCTTGAGTTTTGAAACAGTTCATGAGCTAGTAGTATGCAAATGGTACGAGATATTTTTATTTTTAGTTACAAAGGTAACTTGACACTTTTGTTTTTCACAAGGAGTAAATTCAATTAGAGGTCACGAATAGACGCATCTAGTTCTTAGGACATGTTTTAGAGGAGATGAGACTATTTAGATTTGAAGCAGTTCTAATGTTTACAATAATAAGTGCAGGTAACGATTGTTTTGTTCTTGTTGCATGCAAATAGAACGAGATACTTTTATTGTTTAGTAACAAAGGGTAATTTTACACTCTTGTTTTTCACAAGGGAGTAAATTCAATTAGAGCTGACGAATCGTCGCCACTTGTTCCCACGAGATGTTTGCTATCTTTAGTTACAAATGGTAACTTAACACTTTTGTTTTTCTTTATGGGAGTAAATTCAATTAGAGCTGACAAGTTATCGGCTATTGTTCCCAGGATATTAAACAATAAAGAAGCTTTCAGACGGTTTTTACGTCTCTGCAGTAGCAGTTTAATATTTTTATTTGATGGGCATTTTATGACATTCTTTTAATGGTAGAATTATGGAAACTGTTCAAATGTTCTTTGAAGACTGTGTGGCATCAAGTTAAAGTGCAATTAAATCAGACTTTCAACGTGTCAGAGAGGTTTTTTTTCTCTTTCTTTCAATTTTCGGTGAAGTAGTGTTGTTGCGTTGTGTTGTGTAAAAAAGGTAAACCTACGACTTGTATAAAATGCGAAAAGTTCTCTTAAGTTGAGTATTTTTGAGCAAAAATTACTCTTGGGGGCTGGAAGGGCTATGTGATCGGTGAGTCAGTTATGCATGTCCGCGTGTCACACAAATCACAGTGTGGGTTGTATCAAAGAACGAATGAAATTGCCGGTTAGAAAATAAGATGGTATCTACAGTAATCTGGAGACGTGTCAGATCGTGTAGTTTGGTCAGTCAAACATGTTATGGCTTACTATTTAGTGATCTTACCATTACCCATGTAACATCGTATGCACAGCTTAAATTCCCAGTTTCTTTCTTGCTGTACATCGCAACCGAAAAAACTTGTCAAATTAACCCAATCATTACTGTAAACAGTTCCATGAATGCTTCTATCTCCGAGACTTCACAAAAAAAAACTCCTGCACGCCTTGCGTGCCTATGTTTTTTTTTCTGCTCAACACTTTGCACGAGTAATTTCGCCGCGGGGTGAAAAGAATGCATTAAATCTCAATTTATATTATATTCAGATTTTTGTGAAGTAACGATAAAGTGAGCAACGGCGAGATAATTCTGTTTAGTTCCTAAATAATCCCAAATAGTATCGTTTGACAGATTTTCCAGTTAACAAGCTATTGCGGATGCCCAAATAAATGTCTACCTACCTACCCAACCAAGCCAGGACCCAACCCCAGCACTCCCTCATCATCAGCTGAGCCCACTTCGACCACTCCATCCCAGTCAGGACCCTTCTCAAGCACTACACCGTCATCTGAGCCTGAAACCACATCATCTAGGCCTGGATCCCCGTCGTCGCCTGGTCCTTCAGGTAGAGTTTCTCACATAAACGTTAACTTTCTAGGTCACAGTTACTAACAACGTAGCGCATTGCAGCTTGGAAAAGTCTCCATAGCTACAAATCCCCTGCAAATACGGCTCGTGTTAAAGAAACGCTCTTTTCACAGAAGTAACATAATGGGGAATCAACGTTTTTGTTTTTAAATTCAATTATTTCATTTATATATAAGTTTTTGGAAATTCCAGGAGGAAATTCCGGGAGGAAAATGAAAAGGAACGCAAAATTCTTGCTGAGAAATGTCCGAAAATTTGGATATATATCGCGAGGTTGTCCTCTTTTCCGGAAATTTCGGAAACCTGTAGTTCCATTCGTCATTAGAAATTCCCGGAGATTTAACCCAGAATGTTTCATAGAATGGAAAGCACCTAGCATTCTTTGTAAGAAAAAAATCTGGAAGGGCCACTTGTAATTTTGTATCACCAAAATTACAGTGAAACAAAAATAAAGACAAAAATCAAGACGTCCAACCAGCTGGATCAAACGCAAATATTTTCCTCAGAATTAAGTATCCTTTGTGCTTTTATCATAGACTCGGCATCAGACATTATTAGCCCTCCTTTCTTGATGTGATTTATCAATGTCGTGCGCCCGGCTTAACTTTGTCCTTTCGCCTCAAAACACAGT